AGCATCTTATTTCTATCATGATCACTGCTATTTATCTTATCCTGGGCAGTTATATGTAGTGGTGGTAGCTGGGTTTCAGTGATGAGAGGTGGGTCCATGGTCAAGGGTTTGGGTGCCAGCAGGGGAAGGAAGACCATCCCCGCTGGTTGGGGTGTTAGAGGGGGAGGGTGGTGAGAGAATCGGTGGTAGGTTATGCCTTTTCCACTATCTTATCACTTCATGTTCACTGTTTCCTGCACATCATTCCACTATCACTTGTTTTATTACTTATACTATAGCTTAATACTCATCTGGTTGTGTATCCCCACTTCTCCACTTTGCTGGGTTTGGGTGATGAGAGGTGGGTCCATGGTATTGGTGCCAGCAGGGGAAGGAACCATCCCTGCTGGTTGGGGTATCAGAAGGGTCGGCGAGGAGAGGGGTGAGAGGGATCAGTGGTAGAGGTTATCCCTGTCCACTACCATCTCACACTTTATGTCCACTGTTTCCCTGCACACCACTGCCACCATCACTTGTTGTAATACTTATCGGGAAGATGGAGGAAATATTTTGAGGAATTGTTAAATGTTGATGAAGATAGGGAAGCTGTGATTTCGTGTATAGGGCAAAGAGGAATGATATCTTGTAGGAGTAAGGAAGAGCCAGTTGTGAGTGTGGGGGAAGTTCGTGAGGCAGTGGGTAGAATGAAAGGGAGTAAGGCAGTTGGGATTGTTGGGATAAAGATAGAAATGTTAAAAGCAAGTGGGGATATAGTTTTGGAGTGGTTGGTGCTTTTATTTAATAAACGTATGGAAAAGGGTAAGGTACCTAGGGATTGGCAGAGAGCATGCATAGTTCCTTTGTATAAAGTCAAAAGGGATAAAAGAGAATGCAAAACTTATAGGGGAATAAGTCTGGTGAGTATACCTGGTAAAGTGTATGGTAAAGTAATTATTGAAAGAATTAAGAGTAAGACGGAGAGTAGGATAGCAGAGGAACAAGGAGGCTTTAGGAAAGGTAGGGGGTGTGTAGACCAAGTGTTTACAGTCAAACATATAAGTGAACAATATTTAGATAAGGCTAAAGAGGTTTTTGTGGCATTTATGGATTTGGAAAAGTCATATGACAGGGTGGATAGGGGAGCAATGTGGTAGATGTTGCAGGTGTATGGTATAGGAGGTAAGTTACTGAAAGCAGTGAAGAGTGTTTATGAGGATAGTGAGGCTCATGTTAGAGTATGTAGGAGAGATTGAGATTATTTTCCAGTAAAAGTAGGCCTTAGACAAGGATGTGTGATGTCACCGTGGTTGTTCAATATGTTTATAGATGGGGTTGTAAGAGAAGTGAATGCGAGGGTCTTGGCAAGAGGTGTGGAGTTAAAAGATAAAGAATCAAACACAAAGTGGGAGTTGTCACAGTTGCTCTTTGCTGATGACACTGTGCTTTTGGGAGATTCTGAAGAGAAGTTGCAGACGTTGGTGGATGAATTTGGTAGTGTATGTAAAAGAAGAAAATTAAAAGTGAATATAGGAAAGAGTAAGGTGATGAGGATAACAAAAAGATTAGGTGACAAAAGATTGGATATCAGATTGGAGGGAGAGAGTATGGAGGAAGTGAAGGTATTCAGATATTTAGGAGTGGACGTGTCAGCAGATGGGTCTATGAAGGATGAGCTGAATCACAGAACTGATGAGGGAAAAAGGGTGAGTGGTGCACTTAGGAGTCTGAGGAGACAATGAACTTTATCCGTGAAAGCAAGGAGGGGAATGTATTAGAGTATAGTTGTACCAACACTCTTGTATGGGTGTGAAGCATGGGTGATGAATGTTGCAACGAGGAGGAGGCTGGAGGCAGTGGAGATGTCATGTCTGAGGGCAATGTGTGGTGTGAATATAATGCAGAGAATTTGTAGTTTTGAAATTAGGAAAAGGCATGGGATTACCAAAACTATTATCCAGAGGGCTGAGGAGGGATTGTTGAGGTGGTTCTGACGTGTAGAGAGAATGGAACAAAACAGAGTGACTTTGAGAGTGTATAAATCTGTAGTGGAGGGAAGGCAGGTTAGGGGTCGGCCTAGGAAGGGTTGGAGGGAGGGTGTAAAGGAGGTTTTGTGTGCGAGGGGCTTGAACTTCCAGCAAGCATGTGTGAGCTTATTTGATAGGAGTGAATGGAGACAAATGGTTTTTAATAGTTGATGTGCTGTTGGAGTGTGAGCAAAGTAACATTTATGAAGGGGTTCAGGGAAACCGGCAGGCCGGACTTGAGTCCTGGAGATGGGAAGTACAGTGCCTGCACTCTGAAGGAGGGGTGTTAATGTTGCAGTTTTATAACTGTAGTGTAAAACACCCTTCTGGCAAGACAGTGATGGAGTGAATGATGAAAGTTTTTCTTTTTCGGGCCACCCTGCCTTGGTGGGAATCGGCCGATGTGTTAATAAAATAAAAAAAATAACTCTAGTTTAATACTCAAATGGTTGTGTATCTCCACTTCTCACTTCTCTGACGACATCTGGCAATAATTCCTATTGCCACTCGCCTGTAATTCCCATATTTACACCATGTATTATACTGGGGATTAATTTAGATTACTCTGTTACAAAGTTCACTATAACACTGCGCATACATATCATTATCACTCGCTATATTACTTTCTATTATTTATACAATAGTTCAATATCTATTTGTTTATTTTTCACTTTCTGTCGACACCTGGCAATGATTCGCTAGTTAGGCCTATTTCCACCATATTCTAAGCTGGGCACTCTCCACTTGGCACTATAATCTACATTTTTTTCCTTCTGTGGTCGCTGATGTTTCTTTCATGTTTGTTTAAATGAGTATATGCACTTTATGGTTTCACGTGCCTATTTTCCACACTCTGTCCTAGCTCGGGCTAAGAAAGAACCACAATTTTGTCGGTGCTCGACCATGCATATAGTTTATAACGGCTTGATAAGGTCCTGGAGAGCGAAATGTTGCCACAATAAAATGTCACATTAGTTGCACTTTTGTCCTTTTATCTAAGAGCAGCAGGTAGATTGAGGGGAGCTCTCCTTAGAGAAAGGTCGCGCGTGGTGACACCGTCCTGTTCAGTCTCAGAAATGGTGGTCAGGCTGCGTCCCCTCACCAACACATTCTATCCCCTCATCCCCCCCCCCCACCGTCTCCACGTGGGGTTGGGTGGGTAGCGGGGTGCCTCCGAGGTTTACAGAAATCAATTTACTGAATAATATGGAAAAGTAATAGGCAGCCCTAAGATAATCACCGTCAACAAGTCATGTGCCATAAGAGATTACATTGAACAAAGGGATAATACACATACAAAACACTGAAGTTATATGTAAACTATCGTGTTAATAAATGATTCAGTTGTGCTTATTGTCAACCTAAAGTAGCGTACGTCCAGGAACGTTCTAGAAGGTTAGTTTAGATAGTGCTGAGATGAATCCCTTCCCACCATACTAAATAGTGCCTACAACAATCCTAAAAATCACTTATTATGACTATTCCTTGGTATCCGGAATATTCCACATGAATATTCAGCTGCTTTACTCCCTTTTATTCTATTCTCTGCCTCACTCATCTCCGATACACACCTGGTTCTTTCTCACTCCTAAAAAATGTTAAACCTCCCTGTTTAATGCAAGAAATCACTGCCTCCCTCTCAATATTAAAGAATTTCTCAAAATATTCCACCCATTTCTCCACTTCGTCCATCTCCCCACTTAATGACTCCTCTCTTTTTTTTTATATATTAAATCCCTTTGTTTTCAAGGCTCTCTGAACTTATGTCTTTACTCCAAAACCTTTTACTATTTTCAGCAAATTTGTTGATAAATCGTCACTCACTTTCACCATCCCTCATCAATCTTTTAACGTTTGGTTTACTTTCCAAATACTTCACTTTCCATGTATCACTTCTATATTGAGAAAACATTTGATAAAACAACTTGTTGTTCCTCACAACTCTCTTTACCTCGTCATTCCACCAATCACTCCTCTATATTCGACCTCCTCCGCATTGCATGTGCTCGGTCGAGCCTACAATCTATATTTTTCCCAATATTTGTTTATATCTCGCTTTAATTATCTCCTTTATTTTATAAAACTTTCACTTTTGTCTTAGCTACTGATGACGTTCTTCTTGAACTCCATCTGCCTCCTTCACTATGACTAACACTTAATGAAAACCTCTTCCTATTCACAGTGAGATGAGAGACTCTCCTTCATAATTTTTCCCCGGCACTTCAAACATATCTACTATAACCTCTACAGCAGTTACTCTTAAATTAACCTTAATATTCCCCACAACAATTTCTACATTAGCTTAAAATCTCTCAATATCTGTCTGCTCTACACTTCTCTCTTTCCCAGGTGCATAAACATTTTCTATTATACATTTCTAACATTCCTCCCTTATTTTAATCCCTCGTAATTCTTGAAATTATACTCAAATATTTCCTCTTACTTTTCCGTAACTGAACACTTAATAATATTATTACTCCTTCCTTAGCTCTGATTCTCTCAGACTTACCTGACATACCATTTCACTTCTTACCACTGAATTTCTCCTGTCCCCTTTACCTTGGTCTCGGTTAGCGCTAGGATATCCAGCTTATTTTCATTCATAACATTCAACATCAATACTTTCACTCCATCAACGCACATTCAAGTAACTCATCTTAAAAATTTTCTTGTCTTTTCAGCACTTTATGCAGAAGAGGTTACCAGCCCCTTGCTCACAGCATTTTAAAGTTTCTTTTACAACCTGCTTGACTTATGAAGGAAGACGTCTCACCCACTTGACCATGAAAGTGTGAGAATCTAGTGCTAATCAAGGACAATCTTCCTCATAAGAGAGAAAAATATTCTTGCGGGGAAAATATGAGTAATACATTCAGTAATGGTTCTTTTCATACTGTTAGTGAGTTTGTTGACTGAGGGCAATTTTGGGTCAATATTAATGAAGATCTCAGTTACAAAGATATTTGTAGTGAGAGAGAGACAGACATAGAGACGTACCTGCTCTGACGTGGGTGTCCCTGGAGAGCACTGTACCTGCCGCAGACGACGCCCTGCAGCGGTACGCCGTGGAGTGTACCGCTCCCCTGAACGCCTCACTGGAGAACGGCAGGAACAGCAGCGTACCGTTGGCCAGCACCTGTTAGAACGGCCACAGGTCAACTCAGCGGATAAAGAGGTTTATTCGGGCCCTAGAAAGTCAGCCCACAGGGGTGTTGGGTGCCCTGGCAAGGTGGGGTTAGGTGCCTGCTTACCGGGTGGCCTGGCAAGGTGGAGTCAGGTGCCTGCTCACCGGGTGGTCTGGCAAGGTGGGGTCAGGTGCCTGCTCACCGGGTGGTCTGGCAAGGTGGGGTCAGGTACCTGCTCACCGAGTGACCTGGCAAGGTGGGGGTCAGGTGCCTGCTCACCGGGTGGCCTGGCAAGGTGGGGTCAGGTGCCTGCTCACCAGGTGGCCTGGCAAGGTGGGGTCAGGTGCCTGCTCACCAGGTGGCCTGGCAAGGTGGGGTCAGGTGCCTGCTCACCGGGTGGCCTGGCAAGGTGGGGTCAGGTGCCTGTCCCAGGTGGCCTGGCAAGGTGGGGTCAGGTGCCTGCTCACCAGGTGGCCTGGCAAGGTGGGGTCAGGTGCCTGCTCACCGAGTGGCCTGGCAAGGTGGGGACAGGTGCCTGCTCACCAGGTGGCCTGGCAAGGTGGGGACAGGTGCCTGCTCACCGAGTGGCCTGGCAAGGTGGGGTCAGGTGCCTGCTCACCTGATGGGCTGGCAAGGTGGGGTCAGGTGCCTGCTCACCAGGTGGCCTGGCAAGGTGGGGTCAGGTGCCTGCTCACCAGGTGACCTGGCAAGGAGGGGTCAGGTGCCTGCTCACCGAGTGGCCTGGCAAGGTGGGGTCAGGTGCCTGCTCACCGGGTGACCTGGCAAGGTAGGGTCAGGTGCCTGCTCACCGGGTGACCTGGCAAGGTAGGGTCAGGTGCCTGCTCACCGGGTGACCTGGCAAGGAGGGGTCAGGTGCCTGCTCACCGAGTGGCCTGGCAAGGTGGGGTCAGGTGCCTGCTCACCGGGTGACCTGGCAAGGTAGGGTCAGGTGCCTGCTCACCGGGTGACCTGGCAAGGAGGGGTCAGGTGCCTGCTCACCCGGTGACCTGGCAAGGAGGGGTCAGGTGCCTGCTCACCGAGTGGCCTGGCAAGGTGGGGTCAGGTGCCTGCTCACCGGGTGACCTGGCAAGGTGGGGTCAGGTGCCTGCTCACCGGGTGACCTGGCAAGGTAGGGTCAGGTGCCTGCTCACCGGGTGACCTGGCAAGGTGGGGTCAGGTGCCTGCTCACCGGGTGACCTGGCAAGGTGGGGTCAGGTGCCTGCTCACCGGGTGACCTGGCAAGGTGGGGTCAGGTGCCTGCTCACCGGGTGACCTGGCAAGGAGGGGTCAGGTGCCTGCTCACCGGGTGACCTGGCAAGGAGGGGTCAGGTGCCTGCTCACCGAGTGGCCTGGCAAGGTGGGGTCAGGTGCCTGCTCACCGGGGACTGGCAAGGTAGGTCAGGTGCCTGCCTCACCGGGGACCTTGGCAAGGAGGGGTTCAGGTACACATTTCTACCCGGTGACCTGGCAAGGAGGGGTCAGGTGCCTGCTCACCATGTGCCTGGCAAGGTCGGGGTCAGGTGCCTGCTCACCGGATGACCTTGCAAGTTGGTCAGGTGCTGCTCACCGGTACCTGGCAGGTGGTCAGTGCCTGCTCACCGGGTACCTTGGCAAGGTGGGGTCAGGTGCTGCTCACCGGTAACCTGGCCAGGCTCCGGGGTCAGGTGCCTGCTCACCGGGTGACCTGGCAAGGTGGGGTCAGGTGCCTGCTCACCGGGTGACCTGGCAAGGAGGGGTCAGGTGCCTGCTCACCTGGTGACCTGGCAAGGCGGGGTCAGGTGCCTGCTCACCGGGGTCAAAGGTCACTGTGACCTCTACAGAGCCTTCAAATTTACAATACAATAAATTTTAATTCGTGTATGCTGGACAAATATGGCAGTTTACATGTAGCGGAACATCGGCGGCCACAAAAGCGAACCACAAATTATTCATTGAATTTTGGACAAACATAGAAACCCGGAGAATTTCTTCACTAACCAACATTTCTTTTTTTGTCAGTAGATCAACAATCTACATCATTTTTCCCAACTATGTGGTCCCATTACCTCCCTCTCTCCCTCTCTCCCTACCTCCTTCCTTCACTCCCCCTTCTCTCTCGCCCTCCCTCCCTCATTCCTTCTTTCACTCTCCCTTCCCTCCCTTCCTTCTATACTCCCCTTACCTCCCTCCCACCCTCCTGAAATCAACGATTCAGCATGGAATTCAGGGCGGACATATTGAGGGCTTCGCCAGTGGGAAGGGAGGGATGGATAGCTGCCCTGGTGGGCAGGTGCTGGCAAGGGCTCTCAGAGTGTGTCATGAAGACAGGGAGAAAGAAAATAGGGAGGGTAGTAGGAAGGAAGGAAGTGCAGAAAGGAGGGCAGGAGAGAAGGCAGTAGGAAGAAACGGGGGAGGAGGGAGGGCAGGAGGGAGGGAAGGGGGTAGGGCAGGAGGGAGGGCAGGAGAGAGAGCAGAAGGGAGGGCAGGAGGGAGGGCAGGAGGGAGGGCAAGAGAAAGGGCAGGAGAGATGACAGGAGGGAGGGCAGGAGGGATGGCAAGAGAGAGGGCAGGAGGTAGAGCAGAAGGGAGGGAACGAAGGAGAGAGGCCAGGAAGGAGGGAAAGAGGGAGGGCAAAATGGAGGGCAGGAGGAAGGACAGGAGTGAGGGCTGGAGGGAGGGCAGGAGAGAGGGCAGGAGGAAGGGCAGGAGGGAGGGCAGGCGGGAAAGCAAGAGGGAGGGCAAAATGGAGGGCAGGAGGAAGGGCAGGAGGGAGGGGCAGGGGGAGGGCAAGAGGAAGGGCAAAATGGAAGGCAGGAGGAGGGCAGGAGGGAGGGCAGGAGGGATTGCGGAATGGAGGGCTAGAGGGAGGGCAGGAGAGAGGGCAGAAGGGAGGGCAGGAGGGAGGGCAGGAGGGAGGGTAGGAGGGAGAGCAGGAGGGAGGGAGGGCAGGAGGAAGGGCAGGAGGAAGGGCAGAAGAGAGGGCAGGAGGGTGGGCAGGAGGGAGGGCAGGAAGGAGGGCAGGAGGAAGGGCAGGAGGAAGGGCATAAGGGAGGGCAGAAGAAGAGGAGGCAGGAGGGAGGGCAGGAGGGAGGGCAGGAGGGACGGCAGGAGGGAGGGAGGGAGGAAAGGAAGGAGGAAGGACAGGAAGAAGAGAGGGCAGGAGAGAGGGCAGGAAAGAGGGCACGAGGGAGGGCAGGAGGGAGGGCAGGAGGAAGGGAGGGAAGGAGGAAAAGGCACGAGAGGGGTGCAGGAGGGAAGGCAGGACGGAGGGCAGGAGGGGATGCAAGAGGGAGGGCAGTAAGGAGGGCAGGAGGGAAGGCAGGGGGGGGGAGGGAAAAAGAGAGTTCAGAAGGAGGGAGGGTAGGAGAGAAGGCAGGAGGGAAGGGAGGACGAAGGTAAGGCAGGAGGGAATACCTCCCTACTGCCAGCCTTTAGGAGGGAGGGCAGGAGCGAGGGAGGGCAAGGAGGGAGGGAGGGCAAGAAAGAGGGCAGGGAGAGAGAGAGGGCAGGAGGGAGGGTTGGCAGGAGGGGGGGGGAGAGCAGGAGGAAGGGGGAGGGAAGGAGGGCAGGAGGGAAGGAGGGCAGGAGGGGAGAGAGGGCAGGAGGGAGGGAGGGGAAGGAGGGCAGGAGGAGAGAGAGGCAGGAGGGAGGGAGGGCAGGAGGGAGGGAGGGAAGAAGGGCAGGAGGGAGAGAGGGCAAAAGGGGAGGGGAGGGCAGGAGAGAGGGAGGGCAGGAGGGAAGGAGAGAGGGCAGGAAGGAGGGAGGGCAGGAGGGATGGAGGGAGGGCAGGGGGAGGGGAGGGAGGGCAGGAGGGGAAAGAGGGCAGGAGAGAGGTAGGACAAGAGGGAGGGGGGCAGGAGGGAGGGAGGGCAGGGGGAGGGGAGGGAGGGCAGGCGGGAGGGGAGGGGAGGGCAGGGAGGAAGGGAGGGCAGGAGTGAGATAGGGAAGGCAGGAGGGAGGAGAGGGAGGGCAGGAGGGAGGGAGGGCAGGAGGGAGGGAGGGAAGAAGGGAGGAGGGAGAGAGGGCAGGAGGGAGAGGGAGGGCAGGAGGGAGGGAGAGAGGGCAGGAGGGAGGGAGGGAGGGAGGGCAAGAGAGAGGAAGGGCAGGAAGTGGGGAGGGCAGAAGGGAGGGCAGGAGGGAGGGAGGGAGGGAGGGGGCAGGGAGGGGGAGGGAGGGCAGGAGGGAGGGAGGAGGGCAGGAGAGAGGAGGGCAGGAGAGGAGGGAGGACAGGAGGGAGGGAGGGCAGGAGGGAGGGAGGGAAGGGAAAGGGAGGGGACGGAGGGCAGGGAGGGAGGGAGGGCAGGGAGTGAGGGAGGGAGGGCAGGAGGGAGGGAGGGAGGGCAGGAAGGGAGGGAGGGCAGGAGAGGGAGGGAGGAAGGAGGGGGAGGGAGGGAGGGGGAGGGGAGGGGAAACGGGAGGGGACGGGGGGGCAGGAGGGAGGGAGGAAGAGGGCAGGAGGGAGGGAGGGCAGGAAGAGGGATGGCAGGAGGGAGGGAGGGGGGGAGGGCTGGGAGGGAGGGAGGGCAGGAGGGGGGATGGAGGGCAGGATGGAGGGAGGAAGAGCAGGAGGGAGAGGAGGGAAGGGCAGGAGGGAGGGAGGGGAAGAGGGCATGAGGGAGAAGAGGGCAGGAGGGAGGGAGGGCAGGAGGGAGGAGAGAGGGCAGGAGGGAGGGAGGGAGGGCAGGAGGGAAGGAGGGCAGGAAGAAGGGATGGCAGGAGGGAGGGAGGGAGGGGCAGGAGGGAGGGCAGGAGAGAGGGAGGGCAGGAGGGAGGGAGGGCAGGAGGGAGGGCAGGAGAGAGGGAGGGCAGGAGAGGAGAGGAGGACAGGAGGGAGGGAGCGAGGGCAGGAGGGAGGGAGGGCAGGGGGAGGGGAGGAGGGCAGGAGGGGAGGAGGGCAGGAGTGAGGGGAGGAGGGCAGGAGGGAGGGAGGGAGGGCAGGAGGGAGGAGGGAGGGCAGGAAGAAGGGATGGCAGGAGGGGAGGGAGGGAGGGAGAGAGGGCTGGAGGGAGGGAGGGCAGGAGGGAGGGATG